CTCCAGCCCACGGAGGGCTGCTGGGGTACCTGGTAAAACTCCCTGGACTGCCTGTGGAACTCGGGGCTGTCGTGTTGGCCCACGATCACCAGCACGGGGCAGGCTGGACCCCTGGGCTTCGGGAGGGCGCTTCCAGGTGCCACTGTGGGCTGTTCCTCCGAGCACCCTCCCTGTGCAGGGGGGGGGGGGGTCAGGAGGAGAGGAACCTCACACTCACCTCACACCCTCCCTGCCTCACCCTGCACCCCTCCTGGGCTCCAGCCAGCGGGGAGGGGGGACTCCCGGGGTCAGGGGCAGAGGGGCGTTCAAAGAGGGGTGCCCGAAGGGCTCCAGGGGCGTAGACCCCACTCAGCAGGAAGCAGGGTTGGGAGGGAGGAACCCCCCAGAGGGCCCGGGGAAGCGGGGGCCCCCCCACCCAGAACCAGGTCTTTTTGCGGGCGCTGCGTGGGCAAAAATTGGGCCCAGCCCCAGGATCCGTGAGGGGGGGGGGGGGGTGGGCATTACTAATATCTCTAAACCAGTCGCTCGTGTGTTGGTGGTGTGGTTTCTTTTTTTAGTTTTTTTGGTTTTTAGATTTATCTTTCTCGCCATCCAATATGTATTATTCTTCGGTTTTTACCTTCCTTTCTCCTTTGCAATTTAAATTTGTCTACTCCTCAATTTACTACCCAGGCGCGGAGGCCTCCGTGACCCTCCCAGACCAGAGCGCCAAAGGAGAAAAAAAAATATAACAATACCTAGGGATGGGTGGGCAGTTGATTACTTGCGGACTGGTCATCTTTACCCCCGACTCGCGCGCCGAATCCTGGTGCAGGGGGGGGGGGGGTCAGGAGGAGAGGAACCTCACACTCACCTCACACCCTCCCTGCCTCACCCTGCACCCCTCCTGGGCTCCAGCCAGCGGGGAGGGGGGACTCACGGGGTCAGGCGCAGAGGGGCGTTCACAGAGGTGTGCACGATGGGCTCCAGGTCGTAGACCCCACTCAGCAGGAAGCAGGCTGGGAGGGAGGAACCGCCAGAGGGCCCGTGGCAGCAGGGCCACCCACCCAGACCAGGTCTTGTGCAGGCGCTGCGTGGGCAAGACTGGGCCAGCCCAGGATCGGGGGGGCCCGGTGGAGACAGAGGGGGAGGGACCCGAATAGGAAACCAAGAAGCAGCAAGCAGGCCCCGCTCACAGACTCAAAGCCCCCAGGTCAGCAGCCAGTGCAGAGCCCCAGCTCAGGCCCCGTGGGGGAGGGGAGGGGAGGCTGCCGGCCCCACGGAAACCTTTGAGGTTGGGCGTGACTCCCCGCTCGGTCCAGTTCGCCAGGAGCATCATGGCGGCCAGCTGGGCCCCGGCCGAGTGTCCGCACAGGTAAATCCCCCTGGGAGGGCGAGAGCAGAGGCCGCGTCGCTGCTTGTCCTCCGCGCCACGGGCCAGAGGGCAGCTGGGCTGCACGAAGGGGCTGAATGGCTGAACCCAGTGCCCCCCAGCCCCCCAGCATCATCAGCCAAAGGACACCTGTGGTGACACCCACTCGTTGTCCGGAAACCGCTTCTGCACGAAGGCGAGGCTCCGGGCCACCTGGTCCACCATCTGGTCCAGGGTCCCTGTGGGAGACGCACACGGCAGGTGCTGTGAGGGGCTCGTCCCCCGCAAAGCCCACCGGCCCCCACCCCTGCAGGGCCACCGCCTTACCTTTGGGGGCCAAGGTGTAACCCACTACCACCACCGCCGCTCCCCGCACAGTCAGGGGGCCTGCAAGGTAGGCCGACTCGTCTTTACTGCAGAGAGACCAAGAGTGACCCCGGGGAGCTTGGCCACCACTGCCCCGTCCCCTCTGAGCCCTGTGGCAGGAGGAGGCAGGCTCTGGGCCTCCGTTCCTACGGCGACGACGTAACGCGATTTTCACCGTAAGTCAGAACCCATCTATGTAAGCACCTACGTCACTCACGTGGAGCACATACACAGCAGTAATGAAGTGAAACAGGAAAAAAATTTAAAAGAAAGATAACAATTCCTGACCTTAACTTGTGGTAAATAAATAATAAAAAAACATAAAGCACATATGTACATACGTTGAAATGATGGAACTTTTTTATTTTTTTATAAATAAACTAGAAGCCCAGTGCATGAAAATTCATGCACTGGAGGTGGGTCCCTCAGCCCGGCCTGCCCCCTCTCACAGTCAGGGAGCCCTCAGGGGTGGGAGGCGACCCGGCGATCAGGGGAAGGCAACACCCCATCACACCTCTGCTGCTGCCACCGCTGGCAGCCAAGCCTCGGCCGGCCCTGGTCACCTGAGCCTCGGGCGGCCCTAGGTGGCTGGGGGGCTGAGGAGACCAGGCGCCGCCATCTTTGAGGGTGGGGCAGTCAATTAGCATATCCCCTCCTTATTGGCTGTGGGCATCACCATCTTTGCGACGGCACGAGGGTCAATTAGCATATTCCCTCTTTATTAGATAGGATGGGAGATAGTGACGTAATCATGAAACTATGTACGTTGAGTCCAACGTAACCCGAGGACTGTCTATGTATATATATACACTAGAGGCCTGATGCATGAAATTCGTGCAAGAGTAGGCCTTCCTTCCCCCGGCTGCCGGCACCGGCTTCCCTCTGGCACCTGGGACCCGGGCTTCCCTCGCAGCCCTGACGTCCAGTCTAAGTAGCATATTACTCCAGTCTAAGTAGCATATTACTCCTTTATTATTGTAGATTTATTTGAAGGTGCCTCTCCCTTTGCCTCTGCTCCTCCCACTCTGCAGTATCCTCCATGAAGGAACACGAAGAGCGGCAGGGCTGTAAGACAAAGCACAGGGGCTGAGGCCAGGCTCCCACGGGCTCCGCGAGACGCCCGGCCCCTGCTCACCTTCGGACGCCGCCTCGGGAAAGTACACGTCCAGTGTCTCCCCTTCGCCGGCTCCGTAGGGGACATCCAGCAGGCTCCTCCGCGTGGCCCGGGCCCTCCTGGTGGCTGTCCCGGGAAACGGACAAGGCTGTCAGCGCAGCTCGGGCAGCAGCTGCTCCTATCTTATTTCAGGTGGAAACCTTTTTGCTAAAAGCCTCTTTGCTGCCCGGCCAGTGTGGCTCAGTAGTTGAGCATCAACCTATGAACCAGGAGGTCACAGTTCAATTCCCGGTCAGGGCACATGACCGGGTTGCGGGCTGGATCCCCAGTAGGGGGTGTGCAGAAGGCAGCCAATCGATGATTCTCTCATCATTGATGTTTCTATCTCTCTCTCTCCCTCTCCTTTCCTCTCTGAAATCAATAAAAATATATTTTAATAAAATAAAATAAAGCTTCAAGCAACCATTGCTCAGAGAGCCTGCAAGGATCTAACCACTAGAACCAAACCGGCTCCCGGATGTCCACGGGCCACGTGGGGCACAGGCCACACAGCAGGACATGCCGAGCACAATGGATCTATCGGGAATTAAGCGCATTTTAATTGATTAGAACCAGGAGGCTTTGTTAAGTGAAGCAATTAGGCTGCACCGAGTCTAAGCTGAATCCTGAGAGTGTTAGCACACTCTGCCCACTGTTTACATGCTGAGAGGGATTTAATCTGTGAACGTTCTGCGCTGACTGAGCATCCGTTTCCAAGATCAGTGGATGCCGTTGTTTTTTCCTATGAAGAAATAACAGTGATACCATTAAAAAGCACACAAAAGGCTTGTGAGCGAAATGTCCCCCGCCCGCCGCCAGGGTGACCATGGTATGAACACAGATATAGGATCTCACTGCCCTTAATCCAGATGGCAGCGTATTAAGTATGTGCTGCCCTGCCTGTTTCACTTAAGATTCCTTGGAGCGCCTGCCCAGTCAGTACACAGAGAGCTTCCTCATTCTTTTCTTTAAAAAAAAAAAAAAGGCCCTGTGCATGAAATTCGTGCGGGGGGGGGGGGGGGGGTTTTTCCTTAGGCTGGGCTGTACCCCCTTCGAAATTGGGACCCCTCGGGAATTGCCCAATGTCGGGTTTGGGCCAAT